TTTCTCAGAAAGCATTCATGACATAATACTTGCAGCTATTCAGCAAGAAATCCATAAATATACCATACGGGTACTTCAAAACACAAAGAGTGTTCGAATAATTCGAGAAGGGTGGTAACGAGCAGGTATGAAAACAATCAGTCGTCCGACATCCAGTCCCATTATGAGTAGGAATCTGTTAGGAATATCATCATCTAGCATGACAAGAGGTAAGATTTCAATCTAGCTGAAGTGCTAAGTAGGTTGAGGAAGCGAGCAGTGGTGGATGGTATAGAGATTCTAGGTTCCACACGTATCAAGCTTGTTGAGGAAAACCTTCATCTTCAGGCACTCAACTCCGAGAGGAAGCATTGTGTTCCATTTTTAGTTTGCCTATCGCAGCAAGGTAGATCACTCTGACCATTGGCGCACTGCCTTTGATAATATCTGCTTCAGTTGCAGACGAAACAGCAAACAAATTAATGATATAGAGATCAGTATAAGAACTCTGAGGATATACCATTGGTCCATACAGATATTGCTAAAATAATCAAAATGTTTTTTTATTGAAAGAAAATTAGCAAATTATTTTACTAATGATCTTATTTATGGAAACATATTTTTTCAATTAATTACAGGTTTGCTAAAGATAAGGATGATGGACAAATCAAAAGTCAGAGGACTCCTAGAAGACAATACCATTGGAATGAACAGTCGAGGTGTGTACTGAGATCCTATGTGATCTATACATATGACCATAATTTTGAATATGTAAGATAATGCTTGTGATGGAAAAAACTCTGCCCTGAAATTTTCAAGTATTTGATTTTACAAAATAAAATCAGTTCGGAATATCCAAACATTACGGCAAATAATGGGTCTCGAACTCGAATCTGAAAACTTTTCAAGGTTAATATAGCTATAATCATTTTGATTGAAGAAATGCTAATTCTATACAGTTATCAACAAATCCTTTGCTCAATTTTTTGCTTATTATTATTTTTCATGTAAAGGTTAAGTTACAAAAGATACAATGAATATTTTAATGTCATTTTTAATCACATTACTGCTAAATCCAATTGACCGCTCAGTTAATTTTTTTATTTCTTTGGTTTTGAAGAATAATTATACCCACTGAATTTTGTTAAAGATTTCTCCTGCTGAAAATGTGTCTTCAATACTATTTATTCATAATGACACTCAAAAGAACTACAAAAATTTTTTTGATGAAAAAAAAATTAATATGAAAAGAAACGGAAAGGAAGAATCAAATATCTATATGTTATAAAAGTAACAATGTTTTTTTGGTGGGTTTCCGTCATTGGAAAGTGTCTGGGTGGCTTAAATGCCCTGTGGTATTTTGACCGGTTCCTATCGGTGCAGTATTGTATGATTAATAAACTGAAATCAAGTGTATATCAATGAAGTATCTATAGGAAAGAGAAAATTTCTACTGAAAGATAGAACTTCAGCAGATATTAAATATTCAATTAGATACAAATATATTTTGGCAGAAGAAACAAGAAGGGCTATCAAAAGATCAATTGTCTACCACATGTTCCCCTACTTATTAAAATTCTAAAACAGTTTGATACGCTCTCAAGTTCACTATCAAGTTCACTATCAAGTCTAAGTATTGTTAATTCACAAAAAATCTTATAGACAATTAGGGATAAAAGTTGCAAGAAAGAAAGATTTACCATTTGATGTATCCTTATTGCTTCCGAGTGTTCCTATACCAAAAACTATTGAATACTAGAGTTTNAGATATCTATATAAACATGAACAAGAACTCTTTATGTGAACATCTGCATATTCTCTAGCAAATGCATATTTTCCAGTCACAATTCAACTATGAATAGTTATAGTTTCTCCACTATCACATTTCTCAGCATTGCACAGTCACCAAGGTGTGTTGAGGACATTTAAATAGCCATTCAAACCATCCAAAATGTTGCTGATTTGGAATTGAAAACAGGTCTTTCCATGGGAATATTTTAAACTTCTAGTGTAGTTTAAGGTTTAAGATTAGTGGAATGTTCTAACCATACTCCATTTATTACATTGAGTAATGTTTTTCATAAATTATATATTGAAGGAGCTTCTTCTTGCTTAATGTTTGATTGATTAATACATTGATTTTTTTTGTCCTGTTTTTCATGTGATAAAAAAATATTTTATTTTGCGTTGGTTTTGCCCTCAAAGTTCTCTCTACAAATTAAAATAATGAATTGAATTTCTTAACCTCAATTAGTAGATTTGTATCTACTATCTTGAATTAACTAATACTTCAAGATATTTTTAATCATTGTGCAGTTTATTTTAGCATATAATTGAAGGATAACATAGATNATCCATATAAAAGTATTTGTTTTGAAAGAATTTTGCTTTCGTGTAATTCAATGTTTCCAGATTTATGTCTGAAAGTTACTTCTTTGCATGATCTACACATCTTTTATAGAGTTAATTTTTGAAATCGATTGCTTCCTTCCTTTCTTTGGAAGATTCTCACATTTTTTTGTTTCAAGATGGAGTAGTAGATAGCCAAAACTTTCTTTCCCAAAAATATATTTTTACAATACACAAATTTCTCAGTGTTTTTTAATCATTTTTGGATTCGTACTCACATACAATCATTTATTAACTTCTCCTTTAACTGCTATATAATTATTTCTGATTTTTTGAAATAATAATATACTATATTCTCTAAAGACTAATCATATTGACGAAGCTGAGGACAATTATAATGTTTAGAATAAAAAACAAGACAAAACGTGTAATAAAGTATATGAGGATATATTATAACCAAGGTAAATATAAAATGAATATATGCATAGTGTTACCATTAAAATTAATATATGAAATATCATATTTTCTTAAAATCTATTTAATTACTTCATAAAAAAGTAACCATCTAAAGATAAGTTCTTATATATATTTTCACTTTAATGAAATGAATAAAAACACATTTGTCTAATTACCACTAGTTGATTTTATTTATACGACCGGTTTCGGTCGGTCAGTCACTGACAATTGTCCAACTTATATTTTCAATAATGATATGCCATTCATGAAGAGTTTCTTTAATCTCTCGCACTTTTGATTTCTGTAGTGAAAACGTGCAAAATTTAGTAATGCCTTTTGAAGGAGCAGAGAGTGTTGAAAAATTTTATAAAAAAAATAAAATATTTTCCTATAAAATGTTCTCGTCTTATTTTTCACAGCTTTAAATACATACTCATCTTGATATACCCTTTGATTATGCTAGATATACTAATTAAGTAAAGAATTATGGAATTAATTTGTTGAAACATCAACAGATTATGGGAAGAAATAAAGCTATTGGATAAGTCATTCAAGCCTAAGATTTATGAGTACCTATCCCAATATGTTAACATATCAAAAGACACATTGATTCGTCGATCGAAGGGTTTACGTTTATCCGAAGAAGAAAAGAAACTGGCTAAGCTCAGAAATGAACTGAAAATGTTAATTGATCAACAGATGCCCGCTCTTGAGATGGGGTTTCGAAAACGATGTGACGACTTCTTGAAACAGAAGTGAGTTTTTTTTGTATATTATATGCAGTTTAGATGTGTATGTTCAATCTGAATGAAATTGATAGTTCAAGGTGTGTAACAGATAATTTGCTCCGGGTTCTCCAGGTTTTTGAGCCTGACGCTTCGTCTGCAAGTGAGGCAGATATTATCAAAGGCGATGCGGCAATGGTCGAAGTGAACTTGTTGCGATATTCAAACTGGGAATGAACCTGATGTGTTTATATTTTTTTAATATTGGGAGAATCTTTTGTGTTTTAAAGTGCCGGTATCAATATTTTACTTATATTCTATCTGTCTTCCTCATAGTTAAAATTCTTATGTTTATGTATTTTGGATTATATCCTCCAGTTTTATCTAGAACTTGTATGTAGTAAGAGGAAACTTGAAAACCCTCCGTGAGAACGTGTTCTAAAACTGCTGATTTGTTTGTTTGGCAGTAGCAGCAATTTCTTTTATGCTTCGTCAAGCGCGTTTCAACGCTTTTTTTCGTGCTGGGAAAAAATCACAAATATCAGGTGCAGCTACTGGACTGAGTTATGGCCAGTGGGAGAAATCGTATCTGCGTAAAGTTTGGGTCGGTGTAGACAAAGAAAGTATTAGGAAAAAAGGAATAGAAACTTTTGTTTGCAATTTTACGTTTAAGGTCCGAATAATCTTACAGATTGATGATTTGCTGCACATCTTGAGGGAGAGGCTTCTTACCGACCATGATTCAGTCTGGCAGGTGTATTCGGTTTACTTTTGACGTACGTAATAGAAACCTGGGTTCTTTAGCTGACTTGAGACTATTTTCTACTATTTTAGCGGACATGAAAATTGCTCTGACTTTATGTTTTTCGAGGATTCTTTCAATCTGGTATGTCACACCACTTATGAAAGACAGAAAAAATGTTCTTCTGAAAGCCATTGTCGAGCCAACTATACAATAGAAAACAGTCTCAGTTAACCTAAAGATCCCAGGGATTTATAGTACACCATGAGTATACCGAATTACTTGTAGTTGTGACTTTTTTTAGATCCGAACTATGAAAATAAGCACGCTGGATTGGGTATAAAAGAACATACTTTCTCAGAAAGCATTCATGACATAATACTTGCAGCTATTCAGCAAGAAATCCATAAATATACCATACGGGTACTTCAAAACACAAAGAGTGTTCTATCAAGCTTGTTGAGGAAAACCTTCATCTTCAGGCACTCAACTCCGAGAGGAAGCATTGTGTTCCATTTTTAGTTTGCCTATCGCAGCAAGGTAGATCACTCTGACCATTGGCGCACTGCCTTTGATAATATCTGCTTCAGTTGCAGACGAAACAGTAAACAAATTAATGATATAGAGATCAGTATAAGAACTCTGAGGATATACCATTGGTCCATACAGATATTGCTAAAATAATCAAAATGTTTTTTTATTGAAAGAAAATTAGCAAATTATTTTACTAATGATCTTATTTATGGAAACATATTTTTTCAATTAATTACAGGTTTGCTAAAGATAAGGATGATGGACAAATCAAAAGTCAGAGGACTCCTAGAAGACAATACCATTGGAATGAACAGTCGAGGTGTGTACTGAGATCCTATGTGATCTATACATATGACCATAATTTTGAATATGTAAGATAATGCTTGTGATGGAAAAAACTCTGCTCTGAAATTTTCAAGTATTTGATTTTACAAAATAAAATCAGTTCGGAATATCCAAACATTACGGCAAATAATGGGTCTCGAACTCGAATCTGAAAACTTTTCAAGGTTAATATAGCTATAATCATTTTGATTGAAGAAATGCTAATTCTATACAGTTATCAACAAATCCTTTGCTCAATTTTTTGCTTATTATTATTTTTCATGTAAAGGTTAAGTTACAAAAGATACAATGAATATTTTAATGTCATTTTTAATCACATTACTGCTAAATCCAATTGACCGCTCAGTTAATTTTTTTATTTCTTTGGTTTTGAAGAATAATTATACTCACTGAATTTTGTTAAAGATTTCTCCTGCTGAAAATGTGTCTTCAATACTATTTATTCATAATGACACTCAAAAGAACTACAAAAATTTTTTTGATGAAAAAAAAATTAATATGAAAAGAAACGGAAAGGAAGAATCAAATATCTATATGTTATAAAAGTAACAATGTTTTTTTGGTGGGTTTCCGTCATTGGAAAGTGTCTGGGTGGCTTAAATGCCCTGTGGTATTTTGACCGGTTCCTATCGGTGCAGTATTGTATGATTAATAAACTGAAATCAAGTGTATATCAATGAAGTATCTATAGGAAAGAGAAAATTTCTACTGAAAGATAGAACTTCAGCAGATATTAAATATTCAATTAGATACAAATATATTTTGGCAGAAGAAACAAGAAGGGCTATCAAAAGATCAATTGTCTACCACATGTTCCCCTACTTATTAAAATTCTAAAACAGTTTGATACGCTCTCAAGTTCACTATCAAGTTCACTATCAAGTCTAAGTATTGTTAATTCACAAAAAATCTTATAGACAATTAGGGATAAAAGTTGCAAGAAAGAAAGATTTACCATTTGATGTATCCTTATTGCTTCCGAGTGTTCCTATACCAAAAACTATTGAATACTAGAGTTTGTCAATGGTCTAGATATATAACAATATTCAATTTCTGATTTATTGAGCATAGTTTCACTTAGACACAGAATGTTGAAAGGAATCTTTTTCTGGTAACCATCAAGAAAACCCTTCAGTTCGCAAACCTTATTTCGAACAGACTAGATATTTGATGAAAAATATATTAATGTTAGTCTTTCCACTAGATTTTATTCGAGGATGGATCTTGTTTTTCACTCTACCTGATGACCTTGTTATATTTGATAATGTTAAATCTTTCATCTATATGTATGTTGAATGATTTCATCTCTTAAGATTTTTCACTGTTTACGATATCACTCGGTTCTGATTCCATTACATTCTGTTTTTTCTTGCTCTGAATAAATCAAATATTTGAATTACAGAACAACTCCTTAAATTCAAAGTCTGCATCGAAAATAAAATTTTTTAATCTTTCGATTTTCTTCAGGTCCTTAACTTTAAATTCTTCATGTTCATTGGTTTTTGTTTCCAAAAATTCTGTTATATCTTCATTAACTTCTTCCGAAACTTTATATAAATGAATTCATAGTTTTTGTGTGGCACCCATGAGTTTACCCTGGTTTCCTTCTGAATTTCTTATATTTCTTCTGTTTCGTTTACTTTGGGTTTTCCATTTTTTCGTGGCCCTGCTTGTCCATATCACTTTGAAGGGTTGTTTGATCCTCAACTAGGTTCATTGTATCATTGAGTTTTAAGTTAGTCTCAAACTGCATTCTGAATTCTGAAGAAATTTGATTTCTTTTCAGAGTTAAATTTCTGGGCATTCCCCCCCCTGTCCAGAGGGGGAGGGGAATGCCTAGGGGCCCTGGCTCCGCATGAACTCGACTCAGATCTGCTATCATCTTCATGGCTCTACTCAAACTGAACGTTTTATCTTCTTGTTTGTTCTCTTATAGGGTTAGAACGCCTTAGTGCAGGCATTTGTCCTCTCCTTTCATCCGGATGTCTCTTTAAATTTGCCTGTACTTGGGTTACATAAGGTAATATCCTTTGTGTTGGTTTTTCTGTAGGTTCATTGTTTCTAGGAATATTGTATTGGGTAGTATATTGAATGTTAGGTCTTGTGTATTAATTTGTATTTGTGTTGGTTTTTCTCTGGTTCATTGTTTCTAGGAATATTGTATTGGGTAGTATATTGAATGTTAGCTTGTAGCATACAAGCTTGTATCTTTCTTTCAGGTATTTTTCTTCTTTTTTGGTGTCTGTACAAAAGCTTTTTGCTTCATTAGCATAACTGTTATGATATACTGAACAAAACTTTACACACATTTCATTTATTACATTTTTTTACAGAAATTACAGTGTTTTCTTAGATCGCCAGGAATGTCAGTTATTTTTGGCTATCTTGTTTGAATTTCTTAACAGATGCTCCTTTCAAAATATGAATGAGAGTATTCAATTTCAATTCAAATTCAAAATTTACTTTATTGTCCGAAGACTAAATTTTTATTGACAAAGCCTTGTGCGAAATATAAATAACATATAAATGAAATCACAAAAGTAAAATCAATAAAAGTGATAACATGATAACATGAACTGAAAAGAATAATGTAAATAACAATAACCTGATACAAACGTTCAGGATATAAGAACATGGTCAATAAAATGGAATAAATCAATTTATGCTAAATTTAATCAAATTAATAAAATACTGTAGGTATTACAGTTAGTCATACTCAATTAAAATTATCATCCTAGAATTCTGCTAAGTTATAATAAGGTCTCACAGAAAGCAAGTTTTTCAACTCTTTCTTAAGAGCGCTAAGGTCATTTATGGTTATTATAGCTTGAGAAAGGTGATTGAACATTTTGAGACCGTTTTAAATAATTGAATCTTTAACTGTGGTCGAAAAAGGCAGCGGTAATTTCAAGCTGAATTTGTGCCTGGTTTGATACATTGGCTCTTCCAAGTTGTTAAGCAAGTTCCTATTTTTAAAGAGAAGGCAGATTGTATCATATATAAATAAGGAGACCACAGTTAGGATTCTGTTAGAGGCAAAAAGAGGCTGACAAGAGGTCCTAGGCTTGGCTTTACATATGCATCGTATTGCACGTTTTTGTATTAGTAATACAAAAGCAAATACCATGATGAAGATGGGATTCATAAAGGTAATGATAAACCATTCTAGCTACTAGAGATCCGAGCTCTAATGCAGTTACTCGTATTGCATAATATCCAGAGGCAAGCTTGGAGAGTAATAAATAAACTGGAAGCATCTGCCCTGGTCAAGCACTTCCCAGAAAAATTTCATCAGTATTGGACATGTTATATATTGAAAAAGTAATACTTAATACGCACCATCTCAATGTTCTAATTGTATAATTATTATTTGATTTCTTCTTGCTACCTACCTAATTTTTCATGTTCAGTGGGTAATTATATTGTTCATTTTGCAAAATTGAAACATCTATTGATATTCATCACAATGGAAATTTGGAAAAGGATACTCGATAAAAAAATTTGTTTTTAACTTTCCGTTTCATTTAGACAAATTTGACGAATTAGTTATTGCTCAATTTAATATATTATTATGCCGAATCATGATTTTTATAATTTTTTGTTATCGGTAATAATAATTTGAAAACTACATAAATTTTGAATGATCTTCGAAGGTCCCAATTCGGTGAAATTACCAATACGAAAATGTACGGATATACCTTTACATATATTTTGGAAACGATGTCGTACAAGAATAAATGACTTTCAACCCTAGCTCTAGGGTAGCGGGTTGATATAAAAAACAAATTTCATCAAAGACTAAGAGAAATCTATGAATTTTGCATATAGAAGTCACTTTTCTATACCACTTTTTTGTACAGCGTTTGGTTAGAAGAAACTCCAGTCGTAGTAAGTATCGAAATTTATAAAAGTCGTACAAGAAAATTTTGACAAACTAACCTCCTCGTGAGTAGAGTTTTCACTTTTCCAAGACTTTCACATGCGCCACTCTCAACTGACAGCATTAGAGCGAAACTCATTTTCTATTACAGTATATACTATACTTTTCAAGAGGTATGGACTTGCGGTCTATTACTATATAGCTGAGTTGTCCAGCTTTGTTCAAGGATTTAATATTAACTCGTGTGGTAGTTAAAATGGAAGGATATATTTCAAATTAGAGGTCGGCGGGTTTTACTTTAAATAATGCTACTAGTGGGTAGCCATACTAATACAAAAAAGACTTTGAAGAGGTCACAATATTCCACAGTGTTCAACAATGATCTGGGATGTTCCAGACTATTTTGGAACTTTCTACAATATTCCAGAATGTTCGGTATGTTGTGGCGAACATATCAAAAAAATGTTTTCTAAGTCATTTATTCGCAGATGAATCAATAGAGTAAATGATGCTTATCAAATACAGAATTTGATTTTGTCGTATTCAATATTAGCCATAGATTTATGGGAAATGTGGCAACATCAACAATCTGCACATTGGAAGCTGTAGATAACTCCACATTAATTAATACTTTAATTTCTTCTTTAATACGGTTTAAATCTCATTACATTTATCTCTTCATTGTTGAGAAGCATATTGGAAGAACTGCACCAATTATTGAGGATACTTTCAAAATGGTCAGAAATTACAATATATAATACACATTTTAGATTTTGGGCGATAATCCTTGGATGTAGGGCAATAATCCTATGGTGATTTTAAGAAAAAATCTTCGTATGGACATAGGTCCGCTACCGCTTTATTTCTGTTTTTTTTTCAATTTTGATATATGTCAAGTACGCATAAAAATAAATTTTTTCTGTGATAAAGATTCTATTAATGTTCAGTGGCGTCCCTGTTAACATGTTTGTCATAGTTTTTATCAAAATCATGATACGCCACTTTACTTTTTCCAAATACATATTATTTTAGTAATGTTTTCTATTTTCTCTTGAAAATGGCCCGTCAGCAAGCCCATACAAGTAATGAATCAGGTATTTGAAAAATTCACCATGTTTTCTATCAAAAACAAGTTTTTATGACTCAAATAATATCACGTATCTAGAGAGAGAAGAGTCAAAATCGTTTAATGAAATTAGATCTCTCGATATTTCTAGCCCACAAAAATATTCTACTACACTCCAACGGCTGATTTCGCATAGCGACAAGCAAACGAATACATTTCATTTTCTACCTCAAAAGCCGTTCGCCGGCCGAAAAAAGTCAGGAGACCATTTTTATGAGAACATGGAGGACAATCACATAAATATTTATTTGGAAAAAGGACAGTGACGTATCATGATTTTGATAAAAAATATGGCAGGACTTGTTAACAGGGACGCCACTGATGATAATTAAAAAACCTCTTCCACGAAAAAACTATATTTGATAGAACTGATTGCTACTTGATGGAAACCATTTTGCTCACTCTGCATGTACCAAAATTTAAAAAAAAAACAAAGCAGTTTCAGAGATAGTGGAAAAATGATTTTTTAATTACATTACATTTGTATCTCAGAAATAAAGCGGTTGCAGTCCTACGTTCATATGAAGAATTTTTCCTAAAATCATCTAATAATTATCGCCCTTCAGGACCAGCATTCAATTATGGAAATCCCTGAATACTGCCAATAAAAACGAAATAGATCAATTATAAAAATAGTAAAACATAACCACGAGAGTTATATTAAGAAGACCAAGAAATACACCAATCAATGCCATGCTAAAGGAACTGAAATGGATGTCTGTGAAACATTTTTTATATTACCGAACAATGATACCGGTATATAAAATGAAAAATCACTTATCACTGACGTAGGAACCTGAGTAGTTATATTGAATACAATGAAAATCATCACCATCATAATACAAGAACTCATAATAATACATACCTTAGAGCGAAAATTTAAAAAATACCTAAAAATACATTTATTGTTAAGATAAACAGTACAAAAAAAATTGAAGAATGTAGCTCTCTTGCATTGTTCAAGAGGAAGTTGCATTTTATATTTATCTTTCGTGTTTGTGTTATTTTTTTCCAGAATTTTAGTTGACCAACACATTGTGCTGTCTTATATTTGACTGTAGGTATAACGTATTAGAAGTTTTTTTGCTGAATAAAAAGATTCATGATATTTTATAATCAATACGTTTAGTTTCAAAGCTTAGATCACACCTATTAGAATTCATCAATGAAGTGTCATTTCCATACACGGTGAAGTGAGCTTGATTCGCTATTTTATTCGTATATTATGCTAACCTTGTAGCTGCTTTGTTCATTCTAACTTATACATTTACATTTGAATATTGTGAATAGGTGCTTAGTAACTCTGCTTATTGTTTGCTGAATTGTAATGCGAGATCAGAGGCCTGACAGCCATGAATAGAAAATTATAATCAGAAAATGGACTATATCAGGTAAGTCATCATTGAGTATTCAATCCTAGCTTTGATCAGACCATGAAACATCCGAACGGACATTCTTCTTAAACATTTTATTGTATCATTTATTTCATAACATTTTATTATATCATTTATTGGGTGGTTGCATATGACTTTCAACTCCAAAACATCATGCAGAGAATTCGTGGACACAATACTCCAAAAAGAGGGGGGTAAACTGCCGATACATATTTCTAGCTATTGGCAACATTAGCGCGGTGCAGCCGAGTGCAAAGATTGGCAACACTTGATTACCAAAAATAGAAAACATCATATATCCACGATGGCACATAAAATCGATTTTATGTTACCTAGATGTTACCTAAATGTGATATTTTCCAATTTTGCTAACCAGGCTTTGTACATCTTTGCACTTGGCTGCACCGCTCTAATGTGGCCAGTAGCCAGAACCGCTGTGGTTTCAGTTAGAAGACCTAGCAGTCATAGGAAAACTCCCAACATGTCCACGTAGACAGCTTCACCTTCCGTCATGAAATATGGATCGAAATTTTACTCGATGTAGAACAACAACCAATATTACCATGAAAAATAAACATACTGAATACATGTCAGTTGTAACAGAAACTATTTGACGTAAAATCAAAACCATCCAAGTGATAATTAGCATAGAATTTATCTACAACGAAGTGGTAGGTATGCTTTTTCTCTATTTCAAATGCCAGCAACATTATTTAATATTGGGTGTCTGTTGATGCTTATTCTTTTCCTTTTGCATTTACTAATACATACTAATTCCGAGCTTTATTTTAAACCCTTTGCAGTATATTCTTCCATGCAATGGCTTGTTATCTGTTATTAAACCATACATATCATTCTTAATGAAGACATTGGAAAATCTCGTGGTCTTCCATTAAAACTGTTTGAAAGCCGAGTTTTCTTATTTTGCATGAACAATAATACATACAGTTTTTATTGACACTTGAAATACATATAGGACTACGATTTTCGAAATTTTCACACGTCTTCTTCGTAGTCAACTTTCGATTCAATTCTTAATTTTTTGCATGTTTGTATATTAATTTTAGACACTTTGAATCTCCGTTCGATAACTTCACACATTTGTGTTTTAAGGCAAGATCCAGGTAGTCTTAGCATAGCCATGTTGTCCTTTGGAATATCCAAGTGACACTGCGATTTATTGAAGTATATACATAATGACAATTCTCACAAGTTCTATATTAAATCTATTTCCAGCAGAAGCTAGGATTGTCCTCAGAAACCCATAGTACAGGACTAAAGTGGTTGAATTGATAGTTCTGAGGTCATTGAAAACCATATCATATACAATGGTGATATTTTATCAAAAAAGTTACCTACATACTGAATCGGAGTTCTTCACAAAAACTTACATTGGATAGATATTATATTTGAAGTAATTTTTATTGTACATGTCTCAAAACAATTATAATATCATTTGTTTTCATGAATCAATTAAGATATGTTGCAGATTCATGCAAAAGTAATTGTCAGTTTTTATAAAATGACATCGTCTAGGGCCAATTAGATATACATCCCTGTCCGAAATATCTCAAGAGCGTGGAATACTCATTGAGATTTTTTTCTGATTCGGCCGTTACTTGATGAAGATCCATAGTCATTTCATTCAGTGATTTGAATACTTGTTGAAGAAGCTACAGTGTTAGCGAAACATGTCGTGATTTATTTTTCAAATAAAGTTTGTGGAAATCAAATCGTGAGGTGTAGTTTATGAAACTTATTGAGATTTTGGAAACACCTTTTCAGGCTCCATATTATTGATTTGCTTCAATCTGCAAGATTACCTCTTAATCCGATTTGGTAAAAATAAGAAATTCATCAATTTTGTAGTTATCATTCAGCAACACTTTCATAAACATTTTTATTCAAAATATCTTAGGTACTACATCAGATGTCAAAAAACAGTACTTCCGAAAATGCAAAAAACAATGAACAACTTTTTGTCTATTATCTTTGTATATACAAAGCTTTTATTTTTGATGTTGGAAAGCTTGAAACGCCACTAATGCAGTATTACCAAAACAATTTTTTCAAAACCTAACCCCCAAAATTCAAGAGGAGTGAAAAATTAATGAAATAAATTAAAGTTTGTGAAGTTTTTGAAACTAATGGTGTCTGATACCCAAGAAAGTTTCATACATGGTTTCTAACTTCAAACTGTCTCTTACATATTGAACATATTTCGACATTATTTAAACTTTGATCAAGAATTTCTTAAGATTTGCATGCTGCCCAGAAATAGATGACCGTCTCCCTACGTTTGTTTGAAGGTGATTGACAATGTTTCGTGATGAATTTCACTAGTTCGGACTTCCATTGTCTATTATATAAAATGATTTGAAATCCCTGAAACAAGTAAAAAAGTTGCTTATAAGTTATGCGCCGCTTGCGAGAAGTAATACGAAGAAAACGTTCGTTATTGTGGAAAAAACAATTCATGGCTTCTGCATCACGATAACGCACCTGCTTACTCGTCATTGCTTGTTCGTAACTTCGTGGCCAAAATACAACACCATAATCATGCTTCAGTCAACATATTCCCAAGATTTGGTCCCCTTGCGACTTTTTTCTGTTCCCAAGATTGAAGAGACCCATGAAAGGACTGCGTTTTGCGACGATTGAGAAGATGACAACCGAATCGCTGCGAGAGCTCAAGGACCTACCAAAAAGTGCATATATCCACGAATCAGGGATATTATTTTGTTAGAAGAAAGGAAACATATTCTCTAACCATATTAGCACCAATGAAATGTTTGATACTTTGTTCAATAGTTCAGGTCAAATTCGATTGAAAATACTTGGTTGTTTCAACTAATGCCGTGTTGTTTCAAACTTTTTAAAATCTGTAGATTCAGTATTGTTCTCATTTTCAGAAAATTGGTAAAAGATATATGGAATATTAAAAAACAGTGCCTTCGTCTGGATGGCAAGAAGAAAGATTTAGAAGAACTGTTGAACCAATACCTTCGAAAAAACATTTTACCACTTTGGCCTGAAGGATGGATGTATCTTAAATCACTCAAAAATAAAATAGAGAACACAAGTGATTTGAATTTTAACAGTACCTCTATAAATCTTGGAAATGTTATAGCTCAAGCTGTTCAGAAATAAATCAACGTAATTTTGTACCAGAAGCAACAGTTGAACAAAATAGTTTTCATAAGTTATAAGTACTTACCTTTAGATTGATTATTTTCGTCGTAAGTTTTACTTAAAGCTATCGCCAAAATAAAAGTTGTCAGAGAATGAGAGAGAGATTGAGATAAAGAGAGACATAGAGACATAGATTTTTAAGTGTAAAATTATATCGGCATATTTATGGAACAATGCCCTGATATTATTTTGGTAAGAAATGACTCAAAGCTTAGTTTTTTTATTAGAGTTGAATTAACTCCACAGAATAAAATCAGATTTGTTAAACGAAAAAATTGTTTCTCTTTAAACAATTTCCATTTTTCCAGTCAAAAAAAGTAACTATTTTATTCATTTTTCTTTTTTCAAACTCTAATTTTATTTCATTCACGAAGTTGATGGACTTTTAGTATATCCTGCAGTTGAAAAAACCACAGCAAAATAAAAACGAACTGACATTTTTTCATTTCTCACAACTTATGAATCAATGAAATGAATTATATTACTTTCAACAATCTTCAATCATGTATAGGAAAATTGATAACTATATCAAGTTTTTATATTTTTTTACCTGAATTTGATTATCAGATGATAATATTTTCATACTTCTTACACTTCAATTTTTCCATTGATTTCGGTGGAAATATTCTTTGAATCCTGTTTTAAAATAGGAAACAAAAATGATTATTGTATTTTTACAGCTGAAATTGATAACACCTTCAAGATAATTATTGAGTCTTTCTAGAAAGTGTTATTATTAATAAAATGAATGTGATATCAATTCAAAAATTAGAAACTAGAAAAGTTATTTAGATTGCAATACTTTTGATAGATTTTTTATATTGCTTGGATATAAGTCAATCATTATTTTATTATACCTATAGTAATTGTATGCTATATATTGCTTCTCGGTCCTTGGCTAAGATCGAAGTGCAATTGTATGCTATGTTATAAGTATTTCAATAAAGTTTATTTCAAATGTGTTTATTGTATGTGGTGAGAGGCTTGTCGTTTAGCGGCTTAGCACTTACACATTGTATGTTCCTCCTACTAATTATTTCCGAACAAAGAATTCCTTATTTCATTTAGGTCTTTTGTAGTATAAGCAAGAGTTACCTAATCAATGTACTTCTTCAGGAACATTTATACGAACTGATGGATCACTTTGAAGCAAGGTTGTCATGATATATTCTTTCATGATTAGGTAGTGTTTCCTTAAATTATATATAGAATAATTGTATATTGTGTCTATATTTACTATCTGTAGACTATTTACGAAAAATAAGATGAATTTTGATTTTTTATGTTGGTACACTCGTCTTGAATGTTTAGGTTAGGTCCAGTGAGTGGGTCTATTCGATCCACCACCGCAACTCGCAAGGGTTTATTGTGGCTCACACCTATTCACACTCGACCAAATAAATCTCGCTTCTTAGCGAAGCCGATTAGTTTGTATGGTGAGTGGTATTTCAGGTCAGATGGTAAAAGTACAGCTCTGCCGAAGCACAAAGTATATGCTATGCTGTTTCATCATTTTACAAACAGAGGCGACACACACTGTCTTCCGATAGTCCGAGTCTCTGCATATGGTGATTCATCAGACAACAGTGACCTATGAGAAGGCCTGTTAGACATGGTAGTTCATCCCTACTGTAGTCCAACAACTGTTTGGTATCAAGCTTTGAAGGGTGAATAAACGTCTTGGAGGTGATCAAACTTTGGCAAAGCCTAAAGCGATGCCAATGACAGGTTCTGGTCCGATGAAGCTGCCTGCAGCACCCTCCTTTGCAAGAGAGTCAGCTGCCTCATTGCCTTCCAGGCCAGTATGGCCAGGAATCCAGACCAGAGACAATATGTTAAGTCTTCCTATCAAGGAGAGTTGTTTTTGGCAATTTGCTACCAATTTAGACGTTACTCGAGTGTACCAACATCACAGTTTCACCTGTTAAGAATGTTTAGTTTGTTTGTGAGAGGCATACAAATTAGAAGTGCTTTGCGTGTTTGGTGATTTTCTGCTATCGAAAAAAATGGTTTGAAAAATTTGCATTGACTTTTGGGAAAAAGTTGGAATTGAGTGTTCAAAAACATACTTGAAATGTTGACAGTGGCATACGGTGATTGCACTCTGAGTTAGAAACGTATTTACAAGGGTTACAAGCTTTTTATAGAATGTCGAGAAGATTTGAATGATGACGCCCATCCTGGGTGCCCCAGCACATAAACAACCGATGAAAATGTGAAGAAAATTATTATGAAGAATCGTTGAATCCCTATTACAGAAGTTGCTGAGGATGTCAACATATCGGTTGACTTATGCCATGCGATTTTTTCGTTGGGCATGAAGCGTGTGGCTGTGAAGTTCGTACCAAAATTGAAACGACGATCCAGTTTTGCTTAAAAGGGTTATAACTGGTGACGAATCACGGGTACCTATATGGCTATGTCATCGAAACCAAAGTAAAATATTCCCAATGAAAGAGTCGAGATCAAATTCGATCAAATGTTGAGGTTTTGCTTATAAGTTATGCGCCGCTTGCGAGAAGTAATACGAAGAAAACGTTCGTTATTGTGGAAAAAACAATTCATGGCTTCTACATCACGATAATGCACCTGCTTACTCGTCATTATTCAAAATAATGTTAGGCATGAATTGATCACAGTGGTAGAATAAGGAGTGCAGTGAAACAAAATATCGAAGCAGAGACTCATAATGCGTATGTTGAATGTGTAAATGCAGCCTTTACATGCTACTCGCGCTGCCCCTTGTCGTGCCAATAAAAACTCCACAGCAGCCTTTGGAGCAAGTGACTGTTTAGGTACAGCCACCGCACCGACCGGATTATTCTCCAATCTCCTGCAATATTGGAAGATTTAGAAATTGCCGACGGCGACGGGAGAGCGTGCCGCATGTAAATAGTCGTTGCCGCTCGTGCCACCAGTTCTTTAATTTCCTTTTAAAAAACTGAAGGGAGCGTAAGGCAGCGGCAGTGGCATGGGCAATGACAGCGCGAGCGTCGTGTTTACATACTCGCGCTGCACACTGCTCTGCCCAATTTCCTGCTCACTGTCGCGGAAGTGAGCTGCATGTAAAGCTCCTATAATGATAAGATGGCGGCAATGGCAGGCATTGAGTTCATGAAGTCAATGAATGCAGAACAAGTTGAGTTACGAAAATATCTAGGGAATTATTTTCCTTATAGAATGAAAAAAGACCGATAAGAGCCCTGCTTAAGACAATTAGAATAAAAAGAAATGAAAAAGAAATAGAAATAAGAGACATTTCTAAAACAACTAGAGTAACAACATTTGAAAAGAAGAAATGGAAGGGCAAGAAAGCAGGAAATAAAGAGGAACAGCAAGACACACAAAATTAGGTAGGAGTAACTGAAGCTGCCCTCAGGATATTGTTTCAGAAGAGGGCTGTCCTTAGACCAATGATACTTTCATGTATTTCTGAAATTTTAGTGGAAACAGAAATACCTCTTTCGTTTCTATATTGATTTATAAAATAATATAAGGAGAAGACAACTACTTCAGTTATTTTCGAACAGTTATTGTGATGGAATACATGGGTTTCGAAGATACTGATGAGAGATTTACATCTATTTTCGGGAAAGAAAGTTTTTGGCTTTCTACTACTCCATCTTGATACAAAAAAAGGACGAGGGAATCTTTCAAAGAAATGAAGGGAGTGATTAATTTGAAAATAGGTAACTCTATACATGGATGTGTAGATCATGCAAAGAAGTAACTTTCAGACAAAAACTGAAAGAAGTCCCTTATCTTTTTTTTGTATCAAGATGGAGTAGTAGAAAGCCAAAAACTTTCTTTCCCAAAAATTGATTACTCCTAAAAATATAACCCTTTCAATTCAAATTTACATCTAGTTTTTCAACCAAAACCATGGATCCAGTTTGAGAATGAGGGTACCTAATTACTTATATGTATATTTTTTTTAGGTGTAATATATCAATACCACCTCTTTCAATCATTAGCATTTCCCATTAGAGATATCTCTTCGTTTTCATTATAAATATTCGGTGAACCGATTGAGAAAAAACTTTTTGAAAACAAATTCATTACTTTGCAAACAGTGTAAATCCTGAAATTGGTTGGTTATTATTCAGAAGTGAATTGATCTGGATATCGATTGTTTGTACAGGACGAATACATTTTTTAGATTTTTATTTGATCAACAAATACTAATAAGTTGCAGAAGTCAAATGCTTGAATCGGAACTTCCTATATTTGACTAACGTTACTGTTTTTTCATAAACTACACCTTACGGTTTGATATCCAGAAAGTTTAATATGACGACATATATTTTTCGCTAACAGTAACGTACTACGTAAATCACTAAGAAATGGCTACTGTGTTAGCGAAACATTAAAAATAAAGTTTGTAGAAATAAAATCGTGAGGTGTAGTTTATGAAATTACTACGGATCTTCATTATCATCATCTTCATTAATCAGAAAAAAAAGTTACTTGTTTTTAGCAAAAAATGCGAAGAAATAAAGAAAGATTTAACCAGTGACAGTCATCACCTGAAAACGATTCTAGATAGTGTCGAAACTTCTTGAAGTATTTTGGTTTGATTTTTTTTTCAATGAACCTTTTTCCTGAAGTACGAAAAATCACTCACTAGCAGCGCTAGTAGTTCGCTAGGGACAAACACTGCCTAATTCTCTTATAAACATATGGTAAAGTACAATTAAAAAAGAATGTTTTTAACAGAAGAAAATGCTCCTGGAGCAAAACTAAAATTTGCAACTGTAAAGGAAAACAATGTTGTAACATAAAAACGTTGGCTTGCATGTCGTAATTTAAAAGTAACTGGAAAAAAAGTGAATTGATAGACAGGTTAGTATATACACGTTTGCTGTACTATTCTCAGGAAAAAGACTCGTTGGTTCCTTATTTTTTTTACGTTTTAATTTTATCATTTGTGTATCATTGACATTTCAGTTATTGTACAAAAATGTAGAAATCTTTCAAACAGAGAAAGAAAGTAATTAAATTTAAAATACATTATTAACAAAAATGTTTAGATTATGCAAATAAGTAACTTTCTCAGACACAAACTGGAATAAAAAGCTCACTCGAAACAACTACTTTCATATAAACATTGAATTACAGGAAATAAAAAATACTACAACTACATTCATATGAATATTGAATTACTTATACAAAAAACACTTTTTCCTATTCAGTTTGCTCTCCAAACATTCGTTATGGAATTGAATCTAATATCATTCACAGGATTGCTACAAAATATAGTACAAGAAAGAGGTGAAATTTCACTTACGCATGGAAAAGTTATCGTCAATGGCGGACATCGAATGTTTCGGAACAAGAAACTTGCCTTATTGCCTCTTCAGCACCAATCTGGATAACATAAAGCATTCAATCTATTCATAAAATTACGATTATATGTCATGAATGAGTTAAATATACTCATGTAATCGATGACAGTGTACGTACTGAGATTCATTCGCTTATTTGATTTAATCCCAACAACAGGAATCTTGTTTGAATTGAACGGGATATATTTTTAAGAAAGAATGATTTTTGGAAAAGAAAGGTTTTGGCTTTCCAGATCTCCATCGTTCTTCAAAAAATGTGGGAATCATCCAAAGAGAGGAAGGAATCAATTAATTTCAAAATAAACTCTTCACAAAGGATGTGAATATGTACTCGTAGTAAATAAAAGAGATAAAATTTCACTTACATGGAACACTGCCATCCTCATATCCAATATTTCGGAATAAGACACTTCCAAAAATTAATCTCTCCTAAAAATATACCCCTTTCAAAAACCAGAGAAGAAGCATTAGTTGTCGTTCGAATATGTTAGTATATTCTTTCGAAACTGTATGAGATAGATATATTATAATGATGAACACGATGGATGAAGCAATTCTTTGTTTGATTGATCACTATCGTCAAAAACCAACTGTAAATCACCCTGTAGAACGACATATTTTCTGGTACTGATAGTCTTTAGACTTTCTTTTTAGTTTTTCAAATGGAAGTGGATGGGGGTTTTATCAATTATTTTGGAAACATTGTTTCTGTTCAGTAACGTTGATCTGAGAAGAAACTACAATTTAAAAATTGTCGTTGAGAGTCACGTATTTTGGGATTCTTATTATTATAACAACTGTTCCGTCTAACGACCTTGGTTTCATTCCTCAAAACTGTAGTGAAATATTCAACAACGTTTTTGTCTTGGCGAATGAGAAAACTTTTTCATACTTTTTCTTTCGCCATTCATCAGTGAATTCGATTGTTTGTAGTGGATAGGAAGAAAGTAGTCAGTGGAAAATTTCTATTCAAATTATTTGAGTTTTATTGAAATGGTAAGATTTATTTCTCTTGATTTTACATGCCTTATTGAAAACATTCTGAAAATGGAAAATGACCTTGGGTCAATTGTGTCAGAGAATAATTAATGAAGGTGTCGTTAGCTATTTACAAAATGTTTTGTCTCAGAATTTTTTTTCTATCAACCAAAAACCAAATATTGTTATCTGATTATTTATACGACAGGGTTCTATTATTTATTCTGTTAATCAATTCAATTCAATTCTATNTGGTAAGCAGTTTGTCCTTTAGCATTAGTAACTCATGATTAATGAGGTCAAAAGCTTTTGTTAGGTGAAAATAAATGCCAGTTACTTTATTGCCTTCATCGAGTTGATCAATTAGATGGTTTGGTTAATCATAAATCGCAGATTTGGTGGATCTATTGGGGAAGAAACCGTACTGATTCATCACAAATATATCATTTTCAATAAAATACGACAATAACCTATGGTAGATAGAGAGTAAAATAAAACGTAAAACTGGAACCTCTGTTGTATAATGAATTCAAAATGAGCACTTTTCTCAATCACACTTAATAAAAATCACTTTTATTGCAAACCTAATAAACCACACTATAGTATAAGACCCAGCTTTTTATTGGAGGAAGATACTATTTTTGGTATTTTCAACCCTTGAACAAATTGAATGGAAGTGTCTGATACTTCACGTCCTCAAACTTGTAGAAGATAGTATTCATTCACGCAAAACTCTAATTCAACTCAGTTTCACAAAGTTTTCAAAGCCCTTAGTAATCTAACAAATAAAATAAAGGAGTGAAAAATTGTAGAAATTTATTTCTGAAATACTGGTAGAGTTTGTATTAAAATAAATTTTGTCTTATCACGTATGTAAAGTTTTTCATAATAATTTTTACTACTCAGAGAAATGTTTTTAACATTACTTGATTTCTATTTTCCTCATTTCGACTACCCTTTACTTATTTGGGGGCGGTAAATCGAATATTAAGGTATCTGATACCGTTGTGAGTTGCCTGGTAACACTTTTCGTTTTTAAAGCAAAACTGTTGTAATTTCAATTTTTGATCAGTTCTAACTCAAAAATGATAATTAGAAGTTTCACTAAAGTCTGTACAAAATATACATATTGAGGAAAACTTAGATTATAATAATAACCAAATACAATTATTATGAAAGTAAATGATATAATTCGAAGTCATAGCTAACGAGAAAAATACGTACTGTGCGCTAATATGTCTGTGTCTCTAATATTTGTTAGCGAAAAAAATTCACGACTATACATACTCAAATATTCTTCAATCGACCCTAGTAAATTCTGAATGTCATGTAATTATAAAATATGCTCCAAATTTCGTCTTTATATTATTCAGCTCAACTAAAAATGATGTGTGTTTCATCTGGACCTGCAGTTAAGGCAAATTTACTTGTGGCAAATTTTTCTACTAACTTTAGTAAATGAAAAATATTGAAAAACTAAAAAATAGACCCCTAATTATTATTTTTTATATTATTGTTATATATTTTTATATAGTACGAGTTATTTTACGGACGAGGCGACGCGATGAAGGAGTCGAGTCAGGAATATAAACAAGTAGGTACTTTAATAACACGTAACAAACATGTATTGTGTGATATTTTATTTCATTTTGTCTTTATGAATTAGTTAAATTACAAATCTTTTTTGCCAGATTGAACTAATAGTACCAATTTTATTTGAGCAAAATCTATAAAAAATAATGGGTCTATATTGTATAGTTTTCTAATATTTTTCANCGAACTAGGGAAGTGACAGAATTTATTGACGGATCACCCTGTAGCGCTTTTGAATACTTAATGAGATTTTATTACTCTACACTCTTTTGAAATAGACTATAATAATAATTTTGGTTAAGTTAAATAAAATAAAAACCTCAGTTGAAGTTTATTTTATGATTACAAGACATTCTCCATTTACTAGGGTTGGTTGAAGAATAATTGAGTATTAGTACAGCCACGGATGTTTTTCGCTAATAAATAACAGAGACGAAGGAGCACAGAATGTATTTTTCAAATTGGCTAAGACTTTGAATTATGACAGTTACTTTTATAATAATTGTATATGTATATGCAAAATTTTTTCTGAGTAGTAAAAATTGTTCAGAAACACTTTATATACGTAGAAATACAAAATTTCTTTCAATACAAACTGTACCGATATTTCAGAAACTTTCTTAAAATTCCTCACTTCTTTTTTTACATTTGGTAAATTACTGCGGGCTTCGAAAACTTTATGAAAAAGCTTAAATTGTAGTTTCTCGTGAATGAATATTTTATTTTATTCATCAGATACTTGGGAATTATACATTTTACAATATTTTTTGGAAAAATATGAGTTACTACCGTAATATTTTATTTTTTCAGTATATGCGTTGCATTTAGGTACGTCAGCCTCAAATTATTGTATAGCAGCGAGTTCTTATTATTTGAAAGACGTTTTTGTGGATACGTCAATGTTTCAGAATTTTTATGTTTCAACCTTCCATACAATGGCAAATAAGGTGATCTAGATCAACAGATCCATATAGAACCTGCTCAAGTGTATATAATGAAGGGCAAACTGATTAAGTTATTGCGCAATTCAAATTCATAAACTTGGTGTATTTATGAGTTTTGCTTAGCAATGGAAATTTATAGTTTTTTTATTGATAAACGTCAAGTACATAAACTATTCAGTGTCATCTTATTTGTGAACGAAGTTAAATATGACAAATTACTGATTATACTTTTTGAATGAAATATATATTGTGCAGTAATTTTTTGGGGTGAACTTTTCAATTTATCTTTTATTACTCATATTGAGCAGATTCTTTCCTGATCTAGATTCATTTAGCTTTCCAATTGTCGAAGGTTATAAACAAAAAAAAAATGTTCTTTTCCACCAACGAGAGTAAAGTTTTAGGTTATGCGTTATGCGGGAGAAATAGGTTTGATTAATTAACATATTTTATTATTATTATTCATTTCATGTTATTCATATCATTCATATTATTATTATTCATTANAAGGAATTGCCATATGGCAGATAAAAAAGAATATTTCTAGAAATATCGATATTAATGTATTTGTCTTCAAGAAATTATTAAATGTTTTGCCATTTTATAGTAGGTGAAGATATTGACTTCATATTCAAGGGTTGTGAAATATTCGTCAGGAGCTTCAAAATGATGTGTCACAAGACCCCCTTTCCAATAATTTTTTTCCAGATGGCGCCCAGTCGCCATCTTCAAAGTTTCATCTGTCAATTACACTTCAAAATAAAGTATTCATGCATTAATTTCATTTACCCAAGTTTCAATGTTTTGCACTATTGAAACAGGTTTTTATTATTTCATTGGTGCGCATGATTTCATTTTAGTTGTGTCTAAATGAATACTGATCTGGGCTTCATTAGTTTTGATTCAGTGTATCATGATTTCACGATAACCTTCTCCAAGACTTTGTTTGGTCTTTCAAAGTTACAGAAAAAAAAACACTTTGCTCAGATCATTCAGGATTCTTATTTTTCAGCGTGAGGTAATTTCGGTCCATGTTGGCCAAGCAGGAGTACAAATTGGTAATGCTTGTTGGGAGCTGTACTGCTTGGAACACCATTTAGATAAAGAAGGATATTTCGTTCGTGATTCGCCAGTTGATGATTTGAGTTTCACGACCTTCTTCAGCGCAACGGACAATGGAAAACATATACCAAGAAGTATTTTTGTTGATTTGGAACCCACTGTTATTGGTAAGTACGAAAGTTGAAGTAGTGAAGTGTTTATAAATAAGATTATTTTATAAAATTGTTCAGATACGAAAGGTTTACTACAATTCAAAATGGTATTTACGGTTTTCACACCCTAATTTTGTTCGATGCAAAAATTATTTTTTGAAGCCAAAGTTCTTAAAGTCTGTGATTCAATAATGATAATAATCACACGAGTGATGTTTATTTACATCGAAATATGTTAAGCAAAGTTGAGTTTATATGATTCCCATAGTTTTCTAACAAAAAATAAAAAAAAAACAATTTTTACATACCTCGTTGCAGATAAATAACGTGCCTTTGGAATATTCATTCCTTGAATGTAATAAGTACCTAAATAATATTGGAATTCTTGATGTACATGTGAAATTAAAACACGCAAATAACGTTATATATTGAGTGTTCTGATTCTGCACCATGAATGAGTGTTGTGCACTATTATTAAGCTGCAAATCACGTTCAACTAAATTTTCGAAATTTCGTAGAACTGGTTTTCGACAATTCGGAAAACTCACTACTGAAGCAGAATTTTGATGCAGTTGTTCATAAACAAGAACAATGACATATTCTATCTTCGAAAACACTAACATTTTGTGAAAATGTACTATTTATATACTGAGTTAGAAAATACCCGAAGAAGCCATTGTATGACGAAACACGTGTTGCGTTTTTGTAAAACTGTTCAGTGAAAATCTCACAATAAAGTATTTTTGAATATGTTATGGTTTTTCATCAAGTATCGGCCAATTCCATCATATACCTAATCATGGTTTTCCATATTTGTAGGTAACTCTGTATCTAATCTATATTCAGTGTTACGCATGGTTCACAATGAAGAAACAAAACTCTAGAGTCCTGCAGAAATTCTCAATATCCAATTATTGATAATAATAATAGCTTCATTGTCTAACAGGACAATACAAAATTATATTTACAGTGCTAAAATTTAAACAAAGAGAAATGGTTGAAAAAACAATTCTTAATACCTACCTAAATTAAGTAAATGTTTGCAACTCTGAAAAGATAATAAAGGTTTATGGAGAATATATCACAATGGAAATAAATACTATTGAAATTCATACACCTGACATACAGGGTGTTTATTGAACATGTGACAAAAAATTAAGGGACTATTCCTTGGAATATTCTAAGGCTATTTCGTCCTTTGATGATTTTTGATAGGGCGCTTTGTTTCGAAGATACGGGGCGAAAAAGAATTTCGACAATAACAATTTTGGAAATTTTAAATTATCAACGTAGCCGAAATAAAAGTATAGTGTACTACACTGGACCTTCTAAGTAATAAAAAATCTAACAATTCCGTTGGTACCTATCAACAAAATTCCGATTACTACAAACGGCTGCTGCAGACATTTAATTTGAATGGTATGTCTCGTAAGTGATCATTTGAATGTGTCGAATAGGTTGAAACTTATTGACTTTGTCTGTTTGACGTGCATTCTCTGTGTTTAATATTTGAAGTCTTGTTAATGAAGTCCTCTATCATGAATGGCTATAGTAACGCAGAGATGGCCGACATGAATTTCATTTCTGGACTTGCTGATTCCAATTCATTGGAAGCTAGGCGGTTGTATAGTGAACGATTTGTTAATCGTAATGTGCCTTATAGAAAAACCTTCCAAAGTATACATCAACGACTTTGTGAAACAAGAGCATTGAATCGAAATTAACGACCAGGAAGGTCAATGACAGTAAAAACGGTAGAAGTAGAAGATAATGTACTGGCCATGATAGAAGAAGATCCACGTACCTTTACTCGAAAAATTGCAAATACTTTGAATGTAAGTAACGGGACGATTTGCAACATTCTTAGAGACTATTTGTTGTACCCATACCACATACAACGAGTTCAGGCACTTTTTCCTGCATATTTTCTTCCACGTATTGCATTATGTCAATGGCTTTTGCGCACATTAGTTCAAATCCCTCAACTACTGACGCTTATTCTATTTACCAATGAAGCCAGTTTCTCAAGAAATTCCACAAGAAATTTCCACAATAACAATGTTTGGGCTGAAAAAAATCCAAATTAGGAAGTCGCCTACAATTCCCACCCAAACGTTTCCTGCAAGTAAGTAATATTAAAATAAATATCATTGAATATTACTTACTTGTAGGTATAGCACTGATGATGGCGTGACAGCCGAAAGCGCTTTGCAATTCACAAATGAAATTTTTTACACAAAATACGATTCCTTTCCTGATTTACTCTTCAATTCACTAATTTGAATAAAATTATGAGCGATACACAATTTCAGCGATGTTCTTTGACAAAATATTTTGTATGTGAACAAGATAGTTATCATAGGCAGTTTATATTTGGCTTTTAATCAAAGTAATTCAATTCTATCGTCATCACAACTGAATTTCCTAATTTTTTTCCTGAATTTGGCATTTTGTTTTATGTTTTTTATGATATCCGAATGAAATCATTTAAGATAAATATTTATAAAATTTTTTAATTTGGGTATATGTTCCTCAAAAATCTACATTGCGAAAGTTACTCACTTAACACTCATTCATCTGTTATTCTCCGTAGTGGTAAGTCCTAGGAAGCTAAAGTTTGGTATATTGAAAGGATTTTCAAATATTACAAATGACAATTTTTATAAGGACAGAACACAAGCACCACAGGACACTCCTTGAGGCGTTCTGAGATCGGTGCCTGTGCGAAAGTAGTGATTCACATTGGATTTGAATCGCTGGAGATTAAATCCATGTGGAAAAACGTACTTATTATTTGGAATAAACATTCCACATAAACGCAATTCTCCAAATGAAAGATTTCTTGTACAGTGAAGTTCGAGGTGTACTGAATTGAATCTCAAAACGATGAACAGCCACAGTCCGTTACATATTTCTAATATGTACCGCTCTTGATGGAATCAAATGTGCCAAGTCATTTGAACAATTCCCGTGAAAGTATATATAGAAGAGAGACAAATCTCCAACCTTTCTTCGATGTTCCAGACTGAGCAAATTACTGAGTTTGCTTCAAAGATAAAGTTTTTTTTAGTAACACTCCTCATAAGTTCAGGCTATAGTCCAAAACGAATAAACCATATGGATTTGAATGAAAATTTACTCCATTTGAATAATTTTTATACAAGCTGACTTATTGGCTTCAGTCGAAGACTTAAAATTCATGTTGGTCAAAGAGGGATAACTTTTTCCAAAAGAATAAAAAATAAAAAAGTGAGTTTTTCCAAATGAAAGAGGGGGACCTATTCAATCATGGCTAAGATATTTCAAATTTGGGTCAATCTTTTGCTTGGAAATCACCAGATCCAAAAATACAGAACAATAGCTCAATTATAATATATATTGCAAGTATAATTAAGTAATTTTATTAAGTGATTTTATTTGAATTAGTTACAAGGTTACACCGCTAGTATTAATGATTACATCTTCAAGTTCTTTTTAAGTTTCAAGTTCTTGGAATAATTCTTATTCATTAGAAACTGAGTTACTAATGTGCATTTTTTCAATTTCATTCGTCGATATATTCAAGAATGTGTTCATTTAGTGTAGTTTATAACATGTTTTCTATCTGTTCCTTATCATTTTGTAATATAAAAGAGCATACATGTCCTGTCTATCCGTCACCACTCGTTTTATCATTCTTTTGTTTCCTCGTTATTCCTGCTCAAATCATTTTTCACTTCTTTCGTCTCTTTTGCTTTTTAAATCTTTCTCGAGCTTTCACTTTTTCTCTCTCTTTCGCTTTTTATACCCCTCCTTCGAGCTGGTGTTTGCATAAAAAATAATAGAAATCGAGCCTCTCACAGGACGGTGCTGAGTTAGTGCAACAGGTCGTTGTGAATATAGCTTCCAGTGAGCCATACAGTGCATTTCTTTAATGTACCCCCCTTTTATTTTTTGAACGGGTCAACTGAAAAAATTGAAATTTGGGATAATGAAATTAATGCATGAAGTGAAATTGACACATGAAACTTTCAAGATGGCGACTGGGCGCCATCTATGAAAAAAAATCAAATGGAAAGGGGAGGTCTTGTGACTCATCATTTTGAAGCTCCTGACGGATACTTCATAACCCTAGAATATGAAGTCAATATCTTCACCTTCTACAAAATGGCGGAACATTACGCCATGTGCTATCGTGCCATGTACGCGGATGCCATGTGCTATCGTGGGGCTCCGTTTTGTGTTGTGTTGTATTGAAATTGAAATGTGGAGTGTCTGAAAAAGTGATGAATAAGTGGCCCCCTTTATTCACGCCGGTATCCAGGCCGGGGTGGTTCGGATAACCACGTAAAGGNTTCATAATTTTTTTGAGGATAAAACACAAGCACTACAGGAAAATCCTTAAGGCGCTCTCAGATCGGTGCCTGTGCGAAAGTAGCGATTCACATTGGATTTGAATCGCTGGAGATCAAATCCATTTGGAAAAACGTTTTCAGGAAGTCTATTTCACATAAACGCAGTTCTCCAGATGGAAGAGTTCTTCAACAGTGAAGTTCGAGGTGTACTGTATTCGAAGTTCGAGGTGTAGTCGAAACGATGAGCGGCCACAGTCCGTCGTATATTCCTAATATGTACCGCTCTTGATGGAATCAAATGTGCCAAGTCATTTGAACAATTCCCGTGAAAGTATATATAGAAGAGAGACAAATCTCCAACCTTTCTTCGATGTTCCAGACATCGGATGGCTCTTTTCTGGATGGAATCCAGCAGCTTCAGGGTATGCTTAGAGGCGGATCTCCATACATGAGAACAATACTCCAAAGAAGGTCTGATATAAGCTTTATACAGCATCAAAAGTTGTTGAGGTGTGTACAGTTTTCAGGTTCGGAACAGTGTTCCAAACATAAAGTTGTTGATATACAATAGAACGAGGGTTGGAGATAATATATATCACTGGGGAACACCAGCGTTTTGTGTATGGCTCTTCAGCTCCTTTCAGGAAGCTGACGTTTTGTGTATGGCTCTCCAGCTTCTTTCAGGATGCTGAAGAGCCATACACAAAAATGATACGACAAGCCATAGCTTCGAAGTTTGGCCAGCAAACCCTAATGTCACACACGGTCAAAAGATCAGAATCCACTAGAAATCACTAGAATCCACAATTCCGGAAATTACTTTTCGACAACGTCTAGCCAGGCGAATTCTGCTCAATATCAACAAGGCGTCTGGTCCTGATGAAGTGCCCGTCATCGTACTTAAAAAGTGCGCAGATTGTTTTTCCTTCTGGTCGGAAGATTGATTGCGTTCAGCCTATTCCCATAAAAGACAAGAAAAATCTTTCAAAAATCTTTCACCAGTCGCTTTGCTATCAGTGATATCAAAAATCATGGAGAAAACCTTAAACCAACATATCCTTGAATATTTGGAAGAATTCAATATATTGAGTGATCATCAATATGTCTTTTGGAAATAGTGGGAATAGTGGGTGTACCTCTACCAGAAAATCGACCGTGGAGTGGGACGAAAATTGCTCAGCTAGTAGATTTGCTTTTTCTATGGTTGTTGTTGCAATTGAACCATCCGCTTGTGTTCGTAATGGAATTGTGGATTATGTAAAGTTTTGATTAACAGCTTCAACTACAGACCAGAAGGATCTAGACCTGTTGGGATTGGTAAGCAGTTTGTCCCTAATTCTCTGATGGTGAAGTTCTTCGCTTCCATTTATCCTAAGTTTGCAGCTGTTGCGAGCATTAACAAACCTAGTTCGGTTTTCGGCCCTGGAATTTTTGCGCCACTGCTGGTAGGCGAGATTTTTGGAGGTGACAGCTTAGTCGTAATTTTTGTAGAACCAAGGTTTGCCATTGAAAAAGGAATATATGCATTCATGGATGATAGAATAACTCCAGAAGCACAAGTTGATGGATCTTCAGAGCTGAAACAAACATCTAGCCAGGGGAAATTTCGGAAATGGTCTTGAATATTCTCCCATTCAGCTGATTTGCTGAATCTAAGCCGCCAAACTTTGCGCGGCTTAGATTGTTTCCCAAAATTTCACTCAACAGTAAAATGAGTTTGGGATCAGAAGATCCCAATAGAGACTTTAGGTGACGGTGTAAATATCTGGATCGATTCTTAAATATAGATCCAGAAGACTAGCATACTCTACATCATGGTTAGGAATCCTTGTTGGCTCATTTATAATCTGAGTAAGTCCGCTGCTTATTGCTAAAGCCTCAGCTTCGCGACCTTGTTCGTTCGGAAATTTCGGCACTGGGATGATCAATTTGCTGAAAGTCATTGGTGTTTGCAAGTGAAGAGAATAGTGCCCTATATTGAGTATCGCTTGGTGGTCGATAAACGCAGCATATGAATTTAGTGATTTTCTGTGATGTCATTTTGAACCACATAACATCAATGTTTTGGGGTTCCAGCATTTCCTCTCATTGGCGGGAGAGATCGCTACTGATAAGAAGAGATACTTCAAAGTTATGTCTGAATTGGGAGTGGAAATCATAGCCGGGATATGGAAAATTTGACGGGGTTTGTTGAAGCACTGACCTTGGTTTCTGTGAATGCAAGAATATGGAGACTATTTGTTTGGAAATATTGATGCACTGAATTCATATTTGAGTTGAGTCATCTGATGTTGCAGACATCTATTTTGAAGTTGCTAGTTGGCCTCTTAGCAACTGCAGTTACCATGCTATTTCCCTGTGGACTGATGTTAGGAAGACCCATTACCTTTTCATCACTGTTTGTCTCTACCGCTATATTTTCGGATGCTGAAATTTTGTATGTAGGTAGATTTCATGTTGTAGGTATGCGATAAGGAAGTATTTTCAAATATTCCAACTGGGGCGCCAGCTGCGGGGGAAAAGGGGTGTCCATGAAACAAAATTATCTTTTCATCACAAAGCTACTAAAAAGAATATTTTATGCGCAAAGTGACACTTAATTATTGAGAGGTCGATCAAAGCAAACTGTATACCACATGTAGTTACATCCATAACTTCCGAATCTGTAAAGTCTCGAAAAGCAATTGATACACCTTCCCCCCGTTAATTTATCTACCATTTTCAGTATGCAATATTTTCGATGTACACAATAAACTCTTTTGAAGAGTTCATAATTCTAAACATCCTCGCGCAACCAGATTTCAGTTAATACCATCAAATCAAATTCACATTCACAGACAGCTGAGTTGAATGGTTCAACTTTACTCTACATTCTGATAATAACATAAGATGCTGCGTTGGTGTGGTTCACTGTAACTGCTGAAAGCATTCAGTTTAAATCTTTAACTATTCTTGGATTACATTTTTGATTATGTGTTTCTGTAGACATTTGCAATTTTTGCAATAACTTCATCCTTTGGCTTAATATAATGTTCAATTTGTCTAGGGGTGCGGTCAAACGAAATATATATTTCCTTATATTGACTGTTTCGCAAATTTTTGGCTTTTCTGATCAGATCAAGGACCTGTAACTCATCTTGCAGCACCATTTTCACAGGAAGATTTTTTATTTCATGAAATCCACCCAGTCTGATTGGTTTCGAATTCTGTTGTTGGGAATTTGGATCAACTGTCTTCACGTATATCGGAAACATCTTTATCTAATCGAGTTTGAGGCCAATCTGATTGATTTTGTTCTGGTAAACCACATAAAGAATATTACTGAAGTTTTATCCCAACGCCAAACCGTTATTTTTAATCTTCCTCTTGAAGATGATCACTTGGTGATCGAAACACGTGTCGAGGTGTTGGAATAACGGTTTGGTGTTGGGATAAAACTCCAGTAATATTCATTTATACACCAAAGGTTCCAAACAGTGCATAACAAACCAAATAATACGATATTCTTCATTCGAGAGGTACGATCATTCTGAAATAGGTGAAGATTCAGTAGTGGTTCTCAAAGTACTACTTTCAGCTTTTAGAGCTCAAATATCTTGTAATGATAATAAAAGACTCCTCAAATTTTTGATCTGACTAACAATACTCCTCAAGGCCGTAGCCAGGAGGGATCAAGGGCGATTGATCCCCCCCGAAAGTTCTACAAGCAACGGCCATCTAAAAATTATATCAAATACAACGTTTGGCTTGTTTGAACATCACAGGAGTATGATAATAACACCAACCTTGACAATGGAGTTAATTACTGGTCTGTCTCCTATGGACCTGTACGTTAAGGAGGCTGCGTTAATGGCCATGTTACGATTGCACACGGGCGGTGTAAACCTTGAAGTGGGAATGGGTCAATTGAAGCTGAGCCTATGGCGAGAAGCGCTTATTGCGCAACCTCTGCTGCAGGTAACCAGTGATGCAATTGTACCCAGGTTTGTGTTTAATAAACCCTACAAAATACAAATAAAATAGAACACGAAGCAGATGCTACAAATGCAATACGCATATATACAGATGGCTCAAAAAACAAAGAAGGCTAGGATATGGAGTGTGCTCCAGATCACTAAGCCTAAGGATTAAGTGGGGAATGGGCAAAATACCAGCGTGGTTCAAACAGAACTGGCTGCTATCTCAATTGCCACAAAAGCAATAACCAGTAAAAGAATTCCTGGCAAAAAATAACAATCTGATAGCAGACAAGCCCTATTAGCCTAGAACAGACGTGTTACCTCAGATAATAACATTATCCTGAGGTGGATTAAAGGACACGACAGGAGTAAAGGTAATCGCCGACTCTTCAGCCAAGGAAGCGACTGGACTAAGAATTT